TTCTTAATAGGTCAAGTTCTTATTTACGTTATAAAGTATGATAGTACAGTATACATTGGCGTCGCCTGTAGCCTACAGCTACAGTCACCGACACAATGAAAAAAGTGACAGAAAACTGACACCATACGGGCGCGCATATGTACGCATATATGTGTAAAAATAAACGTTCATATGTAAACTAACCTTTATTCACTAGCAGGAGCTTTGTTGTTCGCTTCCATTAAAATGTAAACTTTACGTGTCAAAAATTTTCTGTCACGTAAACTATTTATGTTGAGATTGAGTACCAGACATTAATATAAGTTCAACCATTATATTAGAGTCTTTAGGAATTTCATATGGTTCTTTTACATAATATTCCTTTTTTTGACCATCAGTTGATTCTTCAACTCTTTTGAATGAAAAGCGCTTATAAAACTCAAACACGAGTGCATCTTTATAACCAGTGATATCGTAAAATTTTGGTGGCACAAGCTGTTCATTCACATTACATATAAATTGTTTGTTATCATGAGCAATATTACTCAACGTTACTAAAGGCTCAAGGAGAGGATTTATTCTTATCTGATAACCGACAAATTTATATGTTGGTTTGCCCTTTCGCTCAAGGATAAACCTGATATTCGCTATAGTTATGAAAAGCTCATCAAAGTACTTATATGTTTTTTTATCTTTATCATTTTCGTCAGTGAAATCTGCTATGGTAAAACTATAATATACATGCATTCGCGAGATATATTTTTTTTCCCATAAGTCTAAAAATTTTGCTTTCGATGGAATTACTTTTTGCGTGAATGTTCTACCATGGTCATCTTCCCAAACAAGCTCTGGTTTTCTTGATGTTGTGTCTGTTTCAGTGGTTTCTAATAACGCAGTGATGAAATCCAACACATCTCCTAGGGACATGTCATATTTATAATTCAAGGCATTTTTTTCTATACTACTGTATGAAGGTAATGTTATGATTGGTGATGTACCTTTTCTTAATACATTCAATTTATTTTCATTTGAATCATAGTAACAATCAACAAATTCTCTACTTGCCTCAGTCATTTTTTCCATAAGACCTTCATTCAACTCCTGTGTAGTCATGTTGGGTTTTATGTAATATCTCATGTCAAACCTTTTTTTCACTGATTTTGATGAATCTGTCATTTCTAATGGAATAGCAAGAAACTCAAAGTCTGGATGCTCAAGACTTATCTTTCTTATCTCAAGAGCTTTTGACGCAGGATATTCAATGAAGTCTCTCGGTAATTTATATGAGACTGTATTACCACTTATCGTGCCATCATTCATAACATGTTCATAGTATAATCCATCATATTTAGACATTTTATATGTAACTAAAAGATGGAGAAAGTTATTAATCAAGTAGATAAGATTCTTCATGATGGAGCACGTAAGAATAGTAAAGAACTAAACAATGCACTCATTATGCCATTTTCTGATGATTATCCATTTTGTACTAATGGTGTTTATTTCTACTGCGGTAAGATGGGTTCAGGTAAGACATATGGTGTTATTCGTCATATAATGATAACAGACCGCTTCACTAATACTCCATATTATGACTCAATAGTTATCTCAGCAACATCAGGAACAATGGATAAAACAGCGAAGACATTTATGAGTCAAGTTAAAGCACCAGTACTGAAAAAGGATGATAAAGAACTTATGCCTTATTTAATGAAGAACGTTAAGATGAAAGCAAAGTATTACGCTATTGTTGAGTTCGTTCAAAGTAAGTTCGAAAAAATTTCAGAGGAGATGGAACACATCTTAACAAAGCATCAACTAAGGAAACCTGATGGAAAGTTTGAGTATAAGAAGATTGCAATATATGTTGTAAAGAAGTTGAACAAATATCCTTTCACAAAGTATCCCAGTAATTCTCTATTAGTGTTAGACGATTATGGTGGTCATGACTTATTGAATGACCCACGTTCACCATTAGCGAACTTCATCACTAAGGTCAGACATTATAACTATACTGTTGTCATCATGTGTCAAACATGGAGACATATATGTTTAAACATTAAGAGACTATGCACTGACTTCGTTATCTTTCAAGGTTATTCTATGAGAGACTTTCAGTCAATGATTGAACAGTCAGGAGCAACAGAAGATTGGGAAGAGTTATGGAACAAATACAAAGAGCTACCAACACCTCGTTCATATATGGAAGTTCATATAGTTGCAGGAAAGACGGACTTTAAAGAAGTTAAGCAACAAAAGATGACATTATTTTAAGAAGAAATAAATGGGTTTTGGCGATTATGTTAAAGCTGGATGGGGTATGGTGAAAAAAAATCCTGGTCTTGTAATAGGTGCTGGATTTAACATTGCTAACAAACTTTTCCCTCAAGTTGGTCAAGTCGGTGGTGTTATCGGTAGTCTTGGTGAAAGAATTGCAAAAACTACATTAGGTGAAGATAATGCATTAACGAAGAATCTTAAAGCATTCAATAAAGCTCTTGGTGGTGACTTCAGTAGAGACAAGCCTGTTGAAACACCTATAGTTCAACCTCAACAAACTATTGACAACAATAAGTATAACGCATACATTGGAGGAGCTATTTGGAACAATCATAAGCCATTAGTTCAGTCAGTACGTGTACTATCAGACATGCCATGGATTAATGCTATTAGTGGCACTATACGCAGATAATATATTTTTATGAGGTTTAAATGAGTGAACAAGAGAGGAAACTCATTGATGAACGAGTTAAGAAATGGGAGAATGAACGTCCGATAATTCGTACCATAATTAGCGATCAAAAGTTCAAGCAGCATACATTTGATTTTTTGCGCGATATATATAATGATCTTGCTTTTGATTACAATGCTAGGCAATACTTTGAGAAAGAATATGTTCAAAAAGGTCGTATTAATTTCCCAATGAGAAGAGAAGGCTTTTTGATTACATCAACATATACAGCACGTGGTAGAGACCCTTTTACAGACGCGGTTCGTAACTTTAAAGCACGTTCTTCTATTAATGATGATCCAGATTTCTACATACCTTATTTTCGTCCACCTTCGCATCCTTTACGAACCAGTGATCCTGGATATGACGCTAAACGAAGATATATAGAGACGAAATTAGCTAAATACAAGGAACCTAAGGATCCAAGGACTGGAGAAGTAAAGGAATCACATGTCAAGATAAATAAGCTTTACAAAGTAGTTGAAGAATTGGAGAAACGATCTAATGAGATTAACGCTGAGAAGAAAAAGGAAGTACCAAATATGAACAAACTAGATAAGATGATTAAGGAATATAGAGGATTGGCGAATACATCGAGTGTTCTAATAAAGGAGTAGAAACACGACAAAGCTGCAGAAAATGATTCATGATGAATTACTGTTAGGTGAATTTTCTATAAAACAAAGACAGAGTAACTTAATGGGTGAGGCTTATTATTTGGAGAATTGGTATAATGAGAGGTTAAAACAAATGTCGACTCCAACACCAACTCCTACACCTACTCCTACAGTAGCTCCAACACCAACTCCCACTCCTGAACCAACAGTAGCTCCAACGCCAACTCCTACAGTAGCTCCAACGCCAACTCTGACACCAACTGCTCACGCAGGTCCTCCACCAATGTCGAGTAGTCATGGTATAACATTAAATAAACCAACACCTACACCAAAAATAACTCCTGTATCACATCCTAGTACAACTAACCCAGTATCTGATTCAAATCAAGCGGAAAGATCACAGGTTCTTAAAAGAGCTAATACACCAACTGCTTCCCCTATTAGAACACCAGAGCCAACTCCAAGAATCACAAAGGCGCCAACACCTTCACCGACTGTTGAACCAACTCCAGAACCAACAGTACCTCCAACTCCATCTCCAACTCCATCACCGACACCTACAAAAGCACCTACTCCATCTCCAACTCCGACTAAAGCTCCGACACCGTCTCCAACACCAACTAAAGCTCCAACACCGTCTCCAACTCCAGCTGAACCAACTGATGCAGAATCTATTCAAAATTGGTTAGACGAAGAAAAGCGAAAAGAAAAGGCTGCAATTGATGCTGCACTAGATAAAAACACACCACCACAGACACTTGGTGGTTACATGTTAAAGAAAGACAACATTCAAAGACAAGAACGTGCATTGAGTGTTGCCAGAGAACAAGCACAAGAAGAGAAGAAAATAGTTGAAGGAGAAGCTTCAAATAGAGGTGGTCCAGGAACTTACAAAGGATCAAACTATCCAGCAGAGAAAGCCTCGAGTGATAATGTTGTCTCAAGAGCTACTGATTTAGTTACCCATGGTATTCTAACTGGTGCAACAGCTGTTGGTAGTGCTATTGGAACCAGTGTTGACACTGTTGTTGATACTGTAAGAACTGTTACAAATCCTACACCTGAAGATAGGAAGGAAGAATTTCTTACTCTTAATACAAAGGCAAAACCAGGGATATGGATTGGTCGTGGAATTTTAAATGCTGGTAGTGCTATTGGCAATGGTGCTTCAGCGGTAGGGGGATGGCTCGGAAGAACAGCAACATCAACCGCAAATGGAATACTAACAGGTGCCAAATCACTTGGTAATTGGGCTGATGATAAGTATACAAAATATTATGAAGAAAAAGCTCGTAAGGCTAAGGAAGAAGCTGAACGAAAGGCGAAAGAAGAAGCTGAACGTAAAGAACTAGAGGAGCTTAAGAAGAAAGAAAAAGCTCGTAAGGCTAAGGAAGAAGCTGAACGAAAGGCGAAAGAAGAAGCTGAACGTAAAGAACTAGAGGAGCTTAAGAAGAAAGAAAAAGCTCGTAAGGCTAAGGAAGAAGCTGAACGAAAGGCGAAAGAAGAAGCTGAACGTAAAGAACTAGAGGAACTTAAGAAGAAAGAAAAAGCTCGTAAGGCTAAGGAAGAAGCAGATAGAAAGGCGAAAGAAGAAGCAGATAGAAAGGCTAAGGAAGAAGCTGATAGAAAGGCGAAAGCAGCAACACCATCGCCAACTCCATCTCCTTCACCATCTCCATCTCCTTCACCATCACCAACTCCATCGCCATCTCCATCTCCTTCACCATCAATAGCGGCTCCTGTGAGACAATTTGGTGCATGGGGTGCTGATTTAGTCAAAGATGCTGCACAAGGAATTGGAAAGGAACTGAAGAACACAACATTAGGTACAATAGAGCGTTTTGGTAATCTTACGGATTACACAATTAGATCAGCTGCTAATCTTTTATATAACCAGACTACTGATAACGGTACTGATGAATTGGCTGTAAACGGACTAGCATCAATTAAGAAATCAGCAGAAGATAAATACGATGAATGGAAAAAGAATATTAAGGGTGAATATAATAAGTATGCATATCCTGAAGAACATATGAAGTTAGAGCTTACCAGACTAAGATCAAAATATGGTAATGAAACAACAAATACTACAACGCAAACGACGAAAGCTGACAGAAAGATTGATGACACTCCTACTCCAACTCCTGCAATGGCGAACATCACAACAATTGCTCCAAGAGTTCCAACAGGAGAAGGTATATCAGGAAATGTTTCAACTACTCATAACATTACTGAAGCAGCTAATGTTTCAGCAGTTGAGCAACCTGTTGTTAATGTAACTCAGGAAAACGCTACTGAAACATCAACACCAAGACAGGATGTAAATAATGAACGTCCAGAAGTTAAGGAGGTTGCAAAAGCATACCTGGAGAAAAATACTACACAAGTTCTTGAAGCAGAAAAGCATCTCAATTCAGACAAAACACCATCTCCAACTCCTGAAGCATCAGTTCCTCCAGCAATTGGTGGAAATATACCTTCAGTATCACCATGGCAGAAATTTTATGGATTGTTTAAAGGAGCGAATAAGGTAATGGATGCTGCTGAGAATCTCCAAAAGTTCAAGAATGAAGTCGCAACTGGTGCAAAGGAAATAGAAGAGAATGATAAACAAGCTGCTGAATTAGCTAAACAACAAGCTGAAGCAACTAAACAAGCAGCAGCTCCTAAACAATCTATATCTAAGTCTCAAAGACAAGGTCCTGACCCAAGTGCTAAAGTCAAACAGAATCCAACACCACCTGCAGCAGAGAAGTCCAAGAAGGACAAGGACAAGAAGAAGGATAAATCAAAGAAGGACAAGGACAAGAAGAAAGATAAGGATAAGAAAAAATCGTCAAAAGATAAAAAACATAAAAATTTATCCAGTAAGAAATGAGTCAAGTCATTAAAGCATCAACTAAACAAAAGTGGTTAACTGAATATATAAAAGATGGTAAGGTTCCTGATGGATATTATGTACATACAATGAAAGACGGACGTGTACAGTTCCGTAAAGTCAAGCAACCTCTCAATGATGAACAGATCAGAAGGAAGATCTCATTGTATGAAACAAAAATAAAGGACTTACAAGCTAAACTCGAAACCCACGATACTTCTCAAGAAAACTAGGCATATCTTTAACATGACCTTCATTAATATTTTTCCTCCAATACTGTACTTCCATTTGTGACAACCTGTTTGGATTACCTTCACGCATACCTCTACCTGTCACTTTTCCTGTATTTTCGTTCTCAAACGTAACATCATACTTTACATCATTA